CGGGTTTGGTTCTGATTGGGTTTTAGTATAGGTGATGGGCGGTAGGTGCGACGATGCCCCCGGTTGTTTTGACGCGACAGAGCCGGAACGAGACAAGATTTCAGTTGATTGTGCAGTATGGCCTGGGTTTGGTTGTGGTTGTGGTTGTGGGTAGGGCGAATGGACGGTGTTGCGTGTGGCTGTGTAGGGCTGGCGATTGATTGAATGCGGATCTGAGTTATGTGCTCACAGGTGAACACACGGTGCATGCATGTGTGTTCGGACTAGGCGGGCTGGCGGGCTGGCGGGCGGGTGGGCAGGCAGGCAGGGATGCCCCATCAGGCTGACGCGCACGCAGTAGTAGCAGCAGCAGCGCGAGGAGAGTGAAGGTAGGGGAGGAGGGCTAGCCGGTGTTACAGGGCCATTTGTGTTGTTTCCTTGGTGGGCCAATCCTCGAGGTAATGCAATACGAGGCCGACCCGTGGACGGGGTTGAGCAAGCTCACAGCACCCGTCCGAGCGAGAAAAATACAGGTAATTTCATTGGTCTCAATTTAGAGACCGTTGCAGAAATTACACTGCAAAGAACAGATACTACACATGATCTTAGCTCAGAGAGCCGAGAAGCGATAAACACTGCGACAACAATACCAGCTCCCCTAACAAACAATGCAACACAGCCAAACTCTCTGGTGTTTTTTTCCATTATTGTTTTGCTTCACCACTAACTTCTTTTGAATCTTCTGGGTATTCCTTTATTGGATTTTAACGTTCTTACTTTGACATCTTCTCTCATGAATTTTTAAATTTTTTCTATGGAATTTTTTGTACCATGAAGCGTTCCAATTTTTTCAAACCCTGCTCACCCAAAACTTTCTGGTGTGGGATCCACGTTTATGTTTATTCTACCACCTAGATCACTAATTTTTTCTTTACATACTTTTAATACACTCCGGATTGTTTCTAATACACTTCTGGCGTATTCCGAATGTCGTTATCGAGAAGAATCTCATTGTTCGTTTATGATGTTAATTACTCGGTTGACTTTCACCTTAATTTTTGATTCTATGGTGCACGTGTTCTTTCGGTTTATGAAATGCAGTTACTCTTCGTCGGGATCGTGCACGTGGTTCCTCCACAAATTTCAATGGGCCCTGGAGACTGTTTGATAGAACGAATGATCTGATTTCTGAAAACAGAAAAATATCCGCGGACCACTAATGCAACAAACAGGCGCAGTTCCGCCCACCAAACGACCTTCATATCCGTTAAGCCGATAAGCCCGTCTGGTTAACTGTCCAATCAGCGACGTGAAACATTTTGCAAACGCCATTCTGATTGGCTGGTATTTTTTCCATCAGGACAACAGCACAACCAATTAGAATCTAGGTTTTCATGTCTAGTGACCTGAGTTTGACCCTGACTGACTAGGTGCGTCTGTTGACTGGTGTGCGGGCTGTCTCGTCAATTTCTGCTTCTGACGCCACGATCGCGTCTAGCTCAGGTGCGCCATGAAATTCAAGTTGTGGAACAAGCAGAATGCACTTACCGAAGAAGCGTCTTACGAGAATATGAATAATTCACTGCCCCGTGTTGAAGAAACTGAACGCGCCACATCCTCAAGCTCTACCCCCGTAGAACCACGACCTCCAGTGGCTTACGGAGTATGGGATTTGGTTGACTACACAAAGGCGTTGGACCAAGGTGGACATCACACTTCTTCTGCATCGTTCGATCGGGTTAGCGATGTGACGCTAGGTGCTCCTTTCGTAACTACCTCATTCTCAGCGCCAAGTACTCCATCCAAGAACCAAGGCTCCACTCCCCCACCGGTCAAGATAAAGAAAAGTGAGTTGATCTTTTCATTTTATATAATGTGCTTCTCGAGGAGGAGTAACTTAATGTGCAAGTCAAAATCTGTTCGGTTTTATACTCAAACTCAGACTCACGCATCTGGTTGACTTTAAATGTCAGATTTTGTGTAGTCGACAGATATAAATGTGGCATACAATCTTATAAAATTTTGCAGAGTAGCGAAAATGGCGTCGTTTGAAATTGTGGAGATCGCTTTGTGGTGTGCTCTAGCTCTGCGTTGTTTCTGACTCCCGTAAATAAGTGGCATGTACTCTCTATTACTTGCACTATGATAGCCTGTAGCACGTTTGTAACGACAGCTGATAAGGAATAGTGTATGAGGGTTTTAAATCATCCTGCTCAAAGGAAATATGTTCAGCTACCACGAGTTGACGATCGCTGGTTGCCAAGGAAACCGGTAGCATTTGAGTCCTAATGCTAATGGCACTTGTTCATCGAAATGCCTATTTATCCGCTCCCGTTTCGTGGGATACTCTTGTTTATGGCAATTTGTACTTGAAGGTTCGACATACGTTACACCTCTAAAACAAAGTGGATTCTATAAAAGTCATCATCTGTCTCATCTCTGTGCATTGTTGAGTCCCTAACCACTGTGGACTCTTCCGTTCTCTTGCTTTTGCTGCTTGACCCGTCGTGTATCATCGCTAGCACAACGGTTCGGTACCTAAAGCACAATTTTCCGGCTATCCTTCTCGGCGAACACAGCCTGGTCATTATTGTCAACTACTTGATTGAGCAACAGGCTGTTGGTCGCGTTGGATCAGTTTTTTAGACACCCTCGTTTCTGGTATATAGCCATCGAATTCACCGAAGATTGGAGGCCATTTTGACAAGTACTAACCTAATTACCGTTCGGCACCTTTCGGTGCCTAGCTGCCATGCCACTTGTAGGACGCACGAGGGCTGAGATGCTTCCTGATTGCCCAAGCTAGACAGAGGATGTGGAGGGGCAGAGGTCGGATTCGAACCACGAACCTTCCGGTCAGGAATTTTTTTCCTTAACCACTGAGTGAACACTTGAAACAGTCACAGTTCTACCTGTACATGCTGAAAAATCACAACTAAACTGCCCGTCTGGGACATCCATCTAAGGGGATCGGCCAAATTTTTGGAGAGATTCAGCTATTCAGATACGTTTGTTCTAAGAGCTAGTATCTTCAGTAAGGAATAAATGTGTGTACATCACCTGATGTGACCGCAGGTGGTTGACAGAGTTTCACTCCGTGTCTGGCGGGTGGTCCCCCCTGTCTCTGCCGCTAAGCATTCGAAAACCGCTGCTAGTATAGGACGGGCATAGTCCGCGGTCCCATTGGTGTGTTGACATTCTTAGAGGATCACTAACTGTTCTATGCAACTATCATCTTTCGACTGGAAAAATGCCGGACTGTCGATTATTAACCAGAAAAGAAACTTGTGTCGAGGGAAGGGGAAACAAGGCTTAAGTCAGTCACATGTACTTCGTTTTGAGTTTGCCACTGAATCTTTCACTTTGCCGTCTTGCTTCTCGCTAACCTCACTTCTGACTAGGTTCATTTGTCTTGCTCTATCATTTCAAAACGCGGTACAAACTGTAAAGCAATACGCCCCTGGTGTTACTCTAGTGGTGCCGTCTTGACAGGGGACCGTTACTGAAGTTTTTTTTACTAATTCAGGTAAACTTTGGTCAAGTCACCTGGCAGCTGGTTCACTAACCGCACATACCGGCCATTCGTGAGTGTCCAACCTAATTCTTCATTGCCCACTGATATCAGTGTCATTCAGGGTCCTATTTTGCTCTTTCTTCTCCGTATACGTTAGGGACACACCTTTTCTCCAGATCTCATCAACCGCAAGTTTAGTGGTGTTCCAGTAAACACACCGGTTCTGAATGAGGTTGCTAACTGGTTAGGAGAACATCTGGCATCCAAGAGGCTTTTCTGTCAAATTACAATGATCTCTTTGTTGCCGTCAACTCTTTGTGCTTCTTCCCCCCCCCCCCCATTAGGAGACCTTTAGATACGAGCCTGTCAGGTGACTTTATTCGGTCCACCCACGTCCATGATGCTTTTGTCGAATTTCGGCGTCGAACATTTTGGATAATGGGGCAAAGTGCCTCCTGTTTCGCTCCATCTTTTGCGTAGTTTTGTTATTGTTTGTCTCATTGGATTTGTTGTTCGCCATCCTCCTCCTGGGTCTTTTCGAGACAATGTCGCTAGGTCACTGGGATGCAATTTTGGATGCAACGGGATCTCGTGTAATATCGTGTTCGTTTTTTTTTTGGTAGGAAGCATACGCGCATGCAATCTGACACTTGTTCCATATTCACTCGACGAATTCTTCCTGACCTCCTTTGTTTTTCTCACCGGTCACGCATCAAAGCCACAAGACTAGTTCACGGACTTGTTCCGCATGTTGACTGCTACCAGACTAGTTAATCCAACTGAAGAGATTATTGGTAGCCCACTTCCACTCACAACACGTTGAGGATAGCATCTTGACTGGTAATGAAACGTTTGCAACCCACCTACCGTCCCACCTATAGAACAAATCAACAAAGCACTAGGTCTCTTTCACTAAAGGATCTCTGTCTCCTACGTGGCAGTCTCCTCTGTTCATTGTAAACGTACCGGGTGCGAATGTTTAAACCGGCACATTGTGTCTCCATGTCTCAGAATGCATGAAATTTCACTTCCCTTGGCTGGAAAATGATAGGTTGCTATACCCCTCGGAGTCCGGGTGTGGAGGTTGGATTGTGTGCAGAGGTTAGTTCACCCGGTTTCGATCACTGAACGGCTTTTTCTACATACACGTCGATTGGACTGGTTGAGATAAGCACTGTCGGGACACGGAATTAATTACTGAGGTCACTAGTGATTATTGGGGACTTTCAATAGTCCTTAGATAGATTTATATTCATCGTCCCCAGCACAGCCCACGTGCTGTCGACTAAGTAAGTGCTCGGTCGATGCTCTTCACCGCGCCCACGGGGTGTGTTCATAGACTAGTGGGATTAGGAGTCCAAATTGCACATGCGCACACTGGGTGTCAGCCGAGCAAATCGATCGGCTACGCCATTCAACAGCTGTAAGGTCACCAGCGGACGCAGGCTGCTTTGTTGCCTATCCCATTTGACCCCCGCAGGTCTGCATGACCACTTACTGGCCTGGTCAGAATGCGAAACGTTTGCATGATTCATCTCGCTCACATCTGGACACGATTATACCCGAGGCTTTTGAATACACCCCACAGTTTATGACGACTGTGTGTGTGACCGCGACAGATGGGGCAACACCTGTACGTCGGTGTGCTGCGGATGTGCGTGTGCCTGTATGATCTCCAGCTTGAACAGCCATCCGGCTGAGCGTGTGCCCTGACCAAACGGCTGCGGGATTGGCAGCGCTAACGAAAAACATACCCTTTCTTTTCCATTCTGCCCACAATACTGGTTCTGTTGCCCGATTGGAGAGTGCAAAATCGCAGAGAACACGTGCTATGGTGCATGTAGTTGTAGACCTTGCTATTCCGAATGGCACAAAGACAAGTGGACCCTTTCTGCGGTCATAACCAACGACGGAATCGGTGCAGCTGTATGACGAAGTTTATCCACTAAGACGCCAGCCTATTCGATCGTAGTTGTACGGGCGTACATCGGGGGATGACTAGCGATGGTGAACGCCACCTACAGTTGCTGTTTGTTGTTTGACCGGTATCGATTACTTCTTTCCACTCTGTTTCTGAGAGATGAAACCGGTTTTTCTTGCAGTGTTTGCCCATATGCACCTATCACAACTGAGCGGATCTTCATGAAACCATATGTGTTTGTGTGACTTTCCCATGTTACCATATCACTAGAGTCATCGCGTTAACAGCACGCAGAGTAAGGAACCTGTTGGCTGGATCTTGGTTACCGATAGATGTCCCTCGGCGTTAACCGCTTATACCGTTCACGATATTTGCTGGTCACAGTAATCTAGTTGCTTCTAACCCAGGAAAAAAAATCCATATATGTGTGACGACAGGATGAACTGTTCAATCAGTACACTCGTCTAGTTGAAGTACAACGTCACACATCCATCTGATTTGACCAGACTGACTGACCTGACTGTTTCACCTGACCTAAGAGGTATGTTTGTGCCAGGACAGCTATGCACGCCAGAGCACATTCTGCAATCTGAATTGGGCTTAGTGATAAAACTCAGCTTCTTTGTTCAGTATGGCCCAATAATATCTCGGTAAATAAAAGGCCAAAGGGTGTTTATCTAATTAGCTCAAATTCTGGATCCTGATGACATCTTCATCATCAGATAATGACTCCTCCGAAGAGGGAAGAGTTTATTTCTGTCTCACACTACCAGAATGACAGGTTCGTACTTCAAGAAGCAGATGCCCTTGAGGAGCAAATGAATTTCATGATCTCGTTGGAGCACGAAACGGGCACTTCCGGATGGAGCTTTATGAGACATCAGATCAGATCAGATTCACACGTTGGTTAAATTTGCCTGGGAACGTGAACTTAACTCAATCTGAATCTCAAAATCAACCTAAAATATAGTCCAATGAGGCAGAATAACTGATGTCCTACGATACTCATTTCCAGCGTCTGTTGAGTACAATCCGGTCTCTGAACTGTTTTGTGAAAAACGTTTCGATCGTTTCGCGAAATACATCAATTTGGTTTTCGTGGGAGAACCCCAACTGAATCTCTCGTCTGAGTCAACTTGACGAGCTCCAAGAAAGGCGAAATGGCCCGTAGGCTGTCGAGTACGAGTATTTTCGTTCGAGACAATATATTGGCATGCTTTATTTATAAAAAAAACAAGTTTCTACCCTCTGTTTATCGACCACGACTCTTACCGTCCCGCTAGTTGCGTCTGAAATTAGCTCTGTTTCTACTTCGTGCTCGCTTCGTTCATGCCATTACCACCCCACACCAGTTTGTCACGGATGGAGACGAATAAGTTGTGAAGCAAATCGCGGAGAATAAAATCCCGCAAAGAAAACACATTATTGCGAAACTGTCCTAGATGGATTTGTTTTAAAATTAATTTTCTCTCTTGATTCCATCACCCAAGTCAGGCTGAGATAAACCGACATAAACTACCACTGGTCTAAGTAATGTAGAATTAGCCACACTGACTGGTAATTGTCGTTGACCACTTAGAAACGTCTCGTCCGCCTCACTAAACACAGTAGTGACAATATGGCTTGCTGTTTCTGGCACTACCTCATGCATTCTGTTTTCCTTAATGATTGAAAACAGTTTTAGGCATTAACTTCCTGATTGGGAAGTCCGTAGTTTGAGCCAACAGCGGCATCTCAACTGCTCCTGTCTTGGCCTGGGCAAGCTGGTAATATCTCGAGCTTCCTTCGGGTGGCACAGCACCAGGGGCGAGATGGCCCAAGTGGTTAGAGCACGAATTTACTGATCGGAAGGTCCGTGGTTCGATCCCGACCTCTGCCTGTTGACTTCCCCTGTCTAAGCTTGAGTGACCTGGCAGTATCACAGTCCTCGTGCAAACTTTGGGCGGCATGGCAGTTAGGCACCGAAAAAGTGTTACAGCTGAATGGTACCACCTAGGTCCTGAAAAAATGTTACAGCTGAACGATTAGATTTCTTTCGTGTGGTCTGATCACTAGTAGAGTTAAAATTTCCAATGGTCAGTTCTTCCTACAAGTGATGCCGAACTATGGTGAAGATCCGAGAATAACTGTTCTGTCGTTTCTTCCTTATTGGCAGTCGCTAGCAGTACGCATCTGACGAAACTCCATTAGATAGATAGTCTCGACCCCGCAACCTCTCGGCTTGAGTACTGACTCATTCGGGCAAGGGCGACTGAACATCAGTATGTTCAGGCCTCCTAGAATTGTAAGAAGGTCTGTTGAGGGATTGTACTTTCAGAAGTGTGACTGCACTTTGAAGGTGCAAGGCGCATGCTAAAGATGGTATGTCGTTGGTCTGTTTATTCAACAGGGCTTGTGTTTCCCTTGGTTTTCAAAGATGAGGGTGATATCATCTGACCTAAAGGTGGAGCAACAATTGGAACACCGGAACACCTTCCAGCGTTCGCCTCATTACTCCGTCAATGACGAAGATGAACAAGAATGAAGAGAGTGAACATCCTAGTCGAAGACCACTTTATGTAGGAAAGCTTTTGGAAACCTCACCATACGCTCTCACGCCCAGAGTTATGTGAATACATGGACCGGATTATGCTCACAAACTTCTGGGCAGCAAGCGCAGTTAACAGCGCTGACCGATAGACAATTGAACGCACTCTCGAAATCAGGGAATACCAAGATTTTGGGTCGTCTGTACATGTGGCGTTGGTCTAATATTTGACGGAGTGTAAAGATGTGGTCAATGCAGCCTCTACCTGGTCGAAATCCCGCTTGATTCTCACGAATCAAGACTTGGCGTACCGCCATAAGACGACGAAGAATCAGTAACACCAGAAATCACCACAGGAGTTAAACTAACACGTCACCAATCCGTTTGCTTTGTCCTATCCCCAGGAGTATATAACCGATCGATATAAATTATCGATCAGCTGCAACACATTTTTGATGCCTAGCTGTCGTGTCGTCCGAAGGAAGCACGAGAGCTGAGCTACTGCCCAGGCATGAGCAGTCAAGATGCAGAGGTTGGGTTCCGGTTAATAATCTCGTTCCTTTACCACGGAGCTGTCTCATGCCTTCTTCCGGGGTCGTCGTACAATTTGACGCTTCAATTTTACCAGCATGACGAGGTCTGTTTTGAGTTCTGGACAGACGCAGAAATCTTTGGGGTCAATCTATTGATTTTCTATCGTAATGAGCTTGGTCCAATCAAAAAGTTCATATAGAGCATGTTTTTATCCGCCAACACTTTTTTTAATTCAAAGCCAAGAACACGGTTCTCGCAGGGTGCTTATGTTCTGTTTCTCGAAAAGAAACTGCTTTCTGTTAAGGTGAATGGCCTTGATCCCGGGTTTTAGTGAGTAATTTGAGAAGTTTGACAAATGTACAGCTCTTCGCGAGCATTCAGGGGCTAAACGTAATCAGGTCAAATGAACCACACAGAGTTAGGTAAATAGATTTTTCAGTGTTTGAAATAGATCAGTAGTTACTATTTCAAACCCGTGTGCTTGTGCACCGCGCTCACACGCATCAGGCCATTCGTTCGCTTGCTATTTTCGACTAGGGAGAAAGTGTCTTGGAATTTCTGATCCTTGCGAATGAGTACGTCTCGGTCCGGTCCCGGCAGCGAAGAACACTCGCAAATCCAGATTTGGATTTGTGGCTGAACTGCAAGACTCACAAATCTGAGTGCTTTGTGTAGCTAAAGTTGACTCAAGGTGTTATCGATTTCAATAGTTACCACTTCATTTCACCTTGGTGATGCAAAGTCGAGGTAGCAAAACAAACTACTTGTGTGCAACTTGTACACTCGGCAGTCACATGCTGTTTTTCATATTAACGATGACAGTGACCCTAAACTATGCGTCTGTGGGTCAAAGTTCGTCTTTTTCAGTGGTTTTTTCTCTAATCGTTTCGCGCGTGGACGCACAGTCAGACGTGATACCACCATCACTTTTTGTGTTTTCACGGCTGCTGCTGCCGTTAGCGTGGCGGCAGCTAAACTTTATTGTTCACCACGCATACAGCAAACACGCAGCGACCTCATTCTGTTCTCTCTCTCTGTCTCTGGACTCTGACCGGTGTGCTCATTCACGCTTTGTGTTTGACCTTAGAAGCTATACCTGCATATTTGACTGGCTCAAATCGTGTGCCAGAATACTACCTACACCATCACTTGGGTAGGTAACGCGGTGAACCGAACGAACACAGTCCACCGTTGTTGTCCTTCGGTATAGGTAACGCATTTTGCTGACGATATGAATGATGCCGGTGTGTTTATATAAGAGACAGACGTTGTAAACCGGTACTACCGGCTTGGCATCCAGCACTGTGTTCGGACAGCCGCCCTAATGATTACCGCGTGGAGTTAAAGACGACGGCATTTCCTGTCAACTTGACACTTCCCTCCCGGGAACGAAAGTCGCACTAGTTTCTTTGATTCCTTTCTCACCCAACCGCTTTGAGATTTGCTTGCGACTCAAGGGTTGTCGGCAACACAGCTAATGGAAGATAGATAGTATTGGCATAATCTTTTCCCGGTTATAGTCAACCAGGCACTGGGTCCAGCGCTGTTACACTTAGGAGCCCAAACACCCAGCCGTCATAGGCTATCGCATCATCACGTCATTCAGAAACTATGTTGCAACCCTTAGTTTACGCTTACGACTTAACCAGACGTCGTTAGTCCACTTGGCTTCGTACAAGACCGGAAATCACTCCATACATCAAGTCCCATTGTAGTGATGATTTGACAACCGAAAAGCTGGCTTGGTGAATTTCCAGAGCTTTGCAATCTGACTTCCAATATCGTTAGTTAACTGCCATATAATGAATTGATTCCGCGCGGCCTATGGACTACAACAACGAACTCTGTTTGTTTTTTGTGTGGTCTCGCTGATGCTCTTGCCTCCACTTCTTCCCGTTCCTTTTCCGCGACGTCTGAGTTCTTGTAGGCGATAATGCATCTTTCCAATTAGTCTTTTCTCTCTTCCCTTAAACATAGCCACGAATGGACGAACACAGACGTAGCCATATCCGGTCGCCCGGATCAACTGTCTACCTGAGTTTCCAGACTGTCTTTGTTCCCCCCCCCCCCCCCCTGCCCCGCTCACGC